CACTGTTCCAGCTGGAAAGGTATCAATAGCAGTTCATTTTAAAGGCACTAACTAGAATTCACAATCCATAAATTGTGTCAAAAATTTTATGGCAATGTTCAGAGGTGGCATAGAACACCTGGAGTTAAAAAAAAAAAAAAAAGGTACCTGTGTGAATCAAGTCTTTCAAACAAGAATAAAAAAGAAGATAAAGGGGTGTGGCAATCATGACTATAGGTCATACAGTGTTTCCTTTATTTTGGAATACTTTTACCTCTGTATATTTTATAATCTATCTCAAAAAGGAATCAATTTATACTTACATTTTGCAGTTATTATGCAACTGGCCAGAGAAAATATCATTGTGTCTTCTAGGATCTAGGAAACAAAACTAAGTTTAGAAAGTGTGAAATGTAAGGTGGCCTGTATTAGGCCCTACTAAATAAAATAACAGAGTATAGAATTAGAATCAAGGAAAGGAAAAATGTACATATTTCATTACGTTTTCACTTAAAAAATCTAAATAATGTAAAAACTAACCTAAATACTGCATTGCATTTTTAATGTAGTAAACATTTATCTGCAACATTACTGTCTCATGATATATCTTTGTAAACAAGCTGGCTCAGTCTTCTCTTTCCGGCTTGGCCTGGTGCAGCAATGAAGCCTCAGGAACAGGGAAGAACCTGCCACTGTCCTTGGAGCTCCTGATTCAATTTCTGTACCCACAACACACCCAAAAAACCAATTCTATGAGGACTTGCATGTATGTATAGAATGGGGTTGAAGAGTCCTACAATAAACGGGTGTGGCAAGCGTGACTCTACTCTTTTCCTTTGCCTGACAACACCACAAACAGTGGTGTACTGGGGATAACAGAGGCGCACTAGGAACGAGCCCAGCTGCCACACCTGGTCACGCAGGCAGAGCAGCTTGGTCCATAAAGGCTTACAAGTCCTCCTATTTTATGATCAGAGAATTTTGACTCATTATTTGCTTATCCAAATATTAAATAATGTACAGCTGTTTCAAAGAGCTAAATAATAGGAGACTAAATACTTATATTATTTATGCATAAGATACAATAAAAGGAAAGTATTGAATTCTAGGAGAGTATCAGGATTAAAGTGAATAAAAATGCTCTATACATGTATGATTATCTTTTATTTAATAAATATTTAACAATTATATCACCTGTTGGTCATTAAGTTTCCCCTGTACTAAGGAGTCAATGAAAACATACTGACTGAAGTTTCTTCCTTTTCGTTCTTTTATGATTTTCTTTAAAATAGATTCCAGTTGCATAAGGGCTTAGAGAAGAAAAACAAAAGATTTTAGAATATAAGCATTGTAAAGATTGAATTTTTAAAATATTTCTGTACAATGTTACTATATTGCAGAATAAAACTTTCAAAGGTAAAAGAGTTGTGACCAAGAATTTTTAAAAAGCTAATTTATGTTTAAACTCATCTACTTTTCTTCTTCTTTTTGCTAAATTTTATAAAGATCCAAAAAAAAAGTATATAAAAAATATGCACAATCTAAGGAATAACTATAAGGCAAACACCCATAATATTGCCACCCAGGTCAAGAAGTAGAACAGTGCCAGCACCTTAGAGGCCTCCATACATATATACCTCTCCCCTGATCTTATCCACCTTCCTTCTAAATTCTACCCTCCTAACTTCATTCTTCTCCCAAATCCATATCACTCATTTAGAGACATAAACACATGTGAAATAGCCAGAAAAGTAAATTTATGAAAGAAATTTATTGACTATTGGATATCAGTTATTTATTGACTATTGGATATCAGTTATTCATATCTATAAGATATGAATATATTAAAATGAGAAATTATTAACACTGAATAACAGAAATTATTAACACTGAATGAATATAATAACACAATATATTAAAATGAGAAATTATTATTAATCTATAAGATATGAATAACTGATATCCAATAGTCAATAAAATTATCCAGAGATCATTTCTCAGTCCTCATCTTACTTGACCTATCACAGCATTTAATGATGTTGATCACTTACTCTCCAGGAAAAATACTTTTCCCTTTAGCTCTCAATTCCACTCTCCTGGACTCCACATCTTCCTCCCACTTTACTGCCTGCTCATTCTCAGTCTCCTCTGTTGATTCCTTCTCCCCTTTCAAAATTTTTTAATGATAGAATGTCTAAGGTCAAGGCTTAGTTTTTGGACTTCTTTTCTTTTTCTATTATATTCATTAGCTTGATGATCACCAGTCTCAAGTCTTTAAATAATCTATGTACTTAACACTCCCAAATTTATATTTTCAGTCAGGACCTCACTCCCCTAAACCCCAGACTTAAGTATGTGACAACCACCTCAGCATCTCCACTTGGATGTCTGAAGCTTTTAAACATAACATCCAAAACTCAACTCTTGATCTTTCCCCACAAAGCTGGATCTTCCTAGTCTTTCCCATCTTATATCCTAATAATTTCATTTTCCAATTACTCGGGCCTAAAACCTTGGTGTCTCCTCCTCTCTTATACCCCAAATGTAATCTGTCAGCCAATATTGGTGGTTCTAGCACCAAAATACAATTATTCTCCTTCACTCTTCTTTTTCATTCTATATTTTTCGGACCTGCATCTAGTCCAAGCCACATTATTTTTCTTTCCTGCTTCATTGAAATAGCCTCCTAAGTAGTCTCTCTGCTTCTGCTGTGGGCCCCTATAACCTGTCGCTGCAGCCACAGTGATCCTTTAAAAACATAACTAAGATCAAAGCTCTGCTCAAAACCTTCCACTGGCTTCCTATCTTATAATTAACAACCTAGTCATACAATGATCTATCAGCCAGACAAAATCTGTTCCACTTCCCAATCTTTCTGGCCTCATCTCCATCTATTCACTCTGTTCCAGCCATACAGCTCCCTGTTATACCTCAAATACACCAGGAAGAATCCCACCTCAAGGACTTTGCAATTATTTTTCCTCCACATGGACTATTCTTCCTTTAGACATGAAGATTACCACATTAACTGCATCGACTGCTTGTCTTATCTCTTTCAAGTGTTTGCTCAAAAGTCACCATTTAATCTTGGTGAGGCCTTTCCTAACAACCTTATTTAAAACTGCAACCTCCCGAGCCCCAGCACTCCTTATACCCATTCCTGATTTAATTTTCTCCACAGCACTTTATTCATCTTTTATCACACTATTCAGTTTACTCAGATTATCTGCCTCTTCCCACTAGAATGTGCTACCACAAAGACCGGGATTTTTGTTTGTTTTGTTGACATCTGCCCAACACCAAAAACATACCAGGAAATTATAGATCTTCACTATAGAAGTGAATGAATATAATAACACAATATATTAAAATGAGAAATTATTAACGCTGTATTGCAGTGCTTCCTAAACTTTGCTACATATTAGAATCAGCTAGGAAGCTTTAAAAAAAAAAAGTACAAGTCATAACTCATACCAATGAAATCTGAATGTTTAGGCGTGGAAGACAGGCTTCGATAATTCTTAATAGATTCAATGTATAGCAAAGTTTTAGAACTGTTACTGTATATTCTCAACCCTACAAGTACATCAAAGTAATCCAGAGACCTTTTATAAAAAAATCTGATGCTCAGGGAACCTCTATCTTCGATTCTGAATAAACTGATCTAGAGTAAAGCCTGAGCTTCAGGGTGTTTTTTGTTTTAAATTCTCAAAGTGATTGTAATGTATAGACCTGACTCACTTAAACAAAGGAAGTACTGATCCATCCATGGGATCCCAGTCATATAAGTACCAAAACATAATCATTTTCAATAAAAGCTCAAATTTGATCTATTCCCATGTTACAGCCCAAGAAACATATCATGCTAGAGAATCTACTTTTATTTAGAATAAAAAAATACAATTTTCATTTTATATTAATTGAACCAATATCTTTGAAATACATTTTTTAAGGGGAATTAATCCAAACGCATCTATCAAGGTAATCAGAATGGTAATGAAAACCAGATAGCAGAAAACGTGTCAATTAAATTGATTTTTCTGGACTTCTGTTAGACATCAAGGGAATCACTAGAATGGTAAGCTCCATAAGGACAGGGATTTTTGTCTCCCATACACAAAATAATGCCTAGCACATATAAGCCTCGATATTTGTTGAAAGAATAAAGGAAGAGAATCCTGGGAAGCACTACTATAATATATGCAAAATAATCCAGTATTCCAATGCAGTTTATGTATTTTAATTTATCCTGCCTACTTCCATAAAAAGAACTGAAGCACCTCAGAATAAAGATATTAAAGCATTCTAATCTTTAAATTACTAACAGAATATATAGAATAATAAAAAGGGGGGAGAATAATTTTGGGGAGGCATCTTACCATCTTAAACTAAAATTGCTATTTTTCTGTGTAGATTTTATAAAGTTGTAACCAATGACAAACACTTTTGAAAACATTTTTATTCATTGTTAAAATGGCAAGAATTTTTTGTTGCTAAACTTTTTACAAATATCTACAAAATATTTAACCATGTTGATATTATTTCCATAGCAACCTCTATATTGTTGGACATTTAGATTGTTTCTGGTTTTCTACTTGCAGAACAGTATGAATAGGAATATTCATGAATATTTTCTTCTTTTAGGTAATTTCATCCATTATTTATGGCTTTAATATATACCATCAAATTGCTTTCCCAGGATTGCATCCTTATACTGTTCAGTAACCTGTAGGATATACCATCTCTACAGCATTCTCATTCTACAGTGAGTGCTAATTTATTAATTCACTATTTTTTCAAGAAAAAATTTTATTACAGGAAATGTAGAAAAAAACATATATAGAGAAAATATACATGACCTATATCATCTTTCAGAGATAACCCTATTAAAATTGGGACATATATCCTTTTGTCCCTATTAAAAATTGTAAGTGGCAAAACTTACCATCCTCATACTGTCTTTTCCGAGTTGTATTTTTATCAAGTGATCCGTCTAGAAAGCCTTTTCCAATCTCAGACCAAACCTGAAAATAGGAAAACATACCTATTATCTAATAAATAGATTTTCTAAATCATATCAAGCAATCTAAGCTAATAATTGAGGAACTCCTGTCTCATCAACAAACCTGATAAAAAGCTCTCCCTTTAGGTGAGCTATATAATCATTTACTCCATAGTCTCTGAGGACAGGGCGCAAATATATTTTAATAGTTTCGGTCAAGGCACTTTCAAACTAATTATAAATGGGAAGTCAAAGTTCTGTTTTTTAAAAACGAAGTAGGAATGGGGAGGAAAAGATATGGCAACAGAGTCAATTTTTTATTATAATAGTACCAGTGGATAAATAAAATTCATACGGAATTCACTGGGAATTCCAATTTTTACTTTGCCTGTAATACTGATAAGCATTAACTGAGATCCTGAAAAAGGTTAAAAATTAGTCTAAGGCTTGGAGATAGTAAACAACAAAATAGGCTTCTAATTATTTCAAAATTGAGTAGTCAGCCCCTGTAAAAACTTTAACTTGTTTATAATTCAAAATCTCTAAAAGAACTTGAGGAAAGAACACACCACTTATCAATCAATACTAAATATATGAAAATTTATTAATAGAGTTAAGAGTCCCCAACTCTTACCTTACAAAGATACACCTTTCACATTTATTTTTTTAGACTTAATTTATTTTTTTATTTTTCCCCTCTTTAATCCCACTCCCCACCCCCCCGGCCACTTCCACTCCCGACCTACGGATGTTGCCGCCTCCCCTTAAGAACTGGATCTCTGAAGGCGGAGCGTCTCCTCCCATGCGCTCGCAGCGTACTTGGGGCACACTCAGGGGGGGCCTGGCACCCCTGGGGTATGGTGCGTGGCTCCACCTGGGGCGCAAACCCAGGACCTTCTGCATGTAAAGCAGACATGCTAACCACTACACTATGGAGCCACCCTCACCTTTCAGATTTAAATGTAAAATGTACGGTAAAAGTTTACATTAGGAATACTCTTCAAGCAAGAAAGAAATTTCTAAGCATGACACAAGGCATAAGGCAAAAATTCATAATTAAAATGTTGAATTCATTTAGCTACTCCATGTCAACAGACTGAAAATTCAGCAACTGTTCTTGGTTCTGTAAGACTGGGGAGGATCCAGGGCAAACTGAGGCCCCCAAGATTGGAGAGACAGGCAAAAACAGGGAGTCACATGTTACCAGAACAGATTCACAACCAGAAACCACCCCAGGAACCAGTGTTAAGGTAGGAAAACCTGACCTGAGCTTGACAAACTTCTGGAGGTGCAGCATACACAACTCTGAGAGTTAAAAACTCCAGGTGACCCAGTCATAGGAGGCCCCAAAATATTGTGAGATTTACCTCTGGGAGCTCGACCAGGTTCCCACAATATGTAATGGAGAAAAAGCCCCTTGGACTCCTCAAATGGGGATTGAAAAAGGAACCAATTTGAAATAAACCAGAGCACTCTATTCTTCTTAACAAGACCTGCCCTCTAACAAAATCAGTTAGCCTAACCAACCTACTGGCATATTATCAGACTCTAACTGATGTGGGGAAGGGAAATATCCAATTCCAGTCATATCTGGCCTTCCATGTGGGAGAAGTGTACCAAACTCCAGCCCACTCAGGCCATCTTGTCCCACCTAAGCGGGGGAAAAAAAAAAAAACGAGAAACACTTGAAAAGTTCACAATCCAGAGTTACAGGCTCACTAAAAGGCTGAGACCTAATCATAGGACTATGGAATGCTTCCCCTTTCCCCACACCTCACCACTACATTACTAAAGGCCTATTTACACCAGTTTCTTTTACCCAATACATCATGTCTGGCTATCAAGAAGAAAAATAGAGGCAAAAAAACACTATGAAGAAACAGAAAGCATCAGAACCAGAAAGAGCAAGCGTCAGAACAAGATATGGAATTATCAGAACAAGATATGGAATTTTAAACAACTATGATTAATAAGCTAAGGGCTCTAAAGGATAATATGCTGTGGGATCTAAAGGATTCTTAGGTAAAGGATAAAGTAGACAGCATGCAAGAACAGATAAGCAACGTAAGCAGAGAGATGGAAATCCTAAGAAAGAATCAGAAAGAAATGCTAGAGTTCAAAAACACTAACGAAAATGAAGAATGCCTTTGCTAGGCTTATTAGTACACCAGTCACAGCTTAGAAACAATCTCTGAGCCAAAGGATATATCAATAGAATCCTTAAAAACAGTTTGTTAAAAAATGAAACATACTCTTACTATAATGATCCAGCAATAGCACTCCTTGATATTTACCCGAAGGAGTTGAAAACTTATATCCACACAAAACCCTGAACACAGATGTTTATAGCAGCCTTATTCATAATTGCCAAAATTTAGAAGCAACCAAGATGTCCTTTAGTACGTGAATGGATAAAATGTGGTATCCAGACAATGGAATAGCATTCAGTGCTAAAAGAAATGAGCTATCAAGCCATGAAAAGATATGGAGGAAAGTTAAATGCATATTATGAAGTGAGAGAAGCCAATCTGAGAAGGCTACATATTGTATGATTCCAACTATGTAACATTCTAGAAAAGGCAAACCAACCTTACAAACAATAATTACAAATTTTAATGACAAAATATCATTTTTTGAACTATTAGGCAAATATGTAAAGGACCAATAACTCTAATGTCACAAGCACAAGGGAAGAGCACACTAATGTTAGTGGGGAAATAATTGGGACAATGTTTTTGAAGGGCATTTCACAAACACAGTATGCGACTGAAAGTGAGGTGTATATTTTTTCACAGTTTAACATCTGTGAAATCGATATGCATCTTACAACTGATCACATCTCTCAACTGTTGTCAGCCAAGCAGCAGTGATGACGCAGTTGTCATTGCTTCTGCATTCACAAAGCGGTTATTATTTCTGCTGGCATGAATGCACAACAGCAACCCCTTAGTGTTTCAGACATTAAAATATCATTTGAGGAAAGATTTCAAGTTATGTTTATAGTCTGAAAACTTTCTTTTGACAACTAGTAATGCTAAGAAAATATCAGATTCCTACCAAAAATGTGTAATTTTAATCTATTCAAACCCAAATTGAGAGACATTCTACAAAATAATTGGCCTCTACTTTTAAAAAATGTGAAGTTCAAGAAACAAAGAAAAGCTAAGAAACTCTTCTGCATTGAAAAGGTTTGACCACTAAAAATAAAGAAATTTGAATACAGGCTCTGGATGATAGTCTTGCAGGAATATTAAATTTCCCAAGCATGAAAACTATGTTGTCACTGTATAAGACAATATCCTTGTTTTTAGTAAATACATATTGAAGTATTTAGGGAGAAAGAGGTCAAATATCTACTTTACTCTCAAATGGTTCGGGTAAGGGAGGGGGAGCGATGGATGGATGGATGGATGGATGGATGGATAGGGAATGAATAAATGACAAAAGCAAATAGGGTAAAATGCAAACTGGTGAACCTAGGTAAAGTATATATAGGAGTTCCTTATACTAGTTGCACCTTTTCTGTAAGTTTAAAATTATTTCTACATTGAAGTTATAAGAAAAAAAAAGGAATAAGAAAATGCCAACTTAAAAACATACAAAATTAATATCAGTAGCTTAGAAGAAAATACTGGAAATAATAGTAGAGGTCTCTTGTTAAAATGCTGTCTCATCAACATGAAAAAAAAAATCAGACATCAATAACTAAGTCAAAAATTGATTCTTCATTAAAATATGAAGACATTTTAGGAATTTCTTAACCAGTTTATTTTGTGTTGGTACACAGAGTAGTTTACTCTAGAAAGTGGAATTTACTCTAGAAAGTGCAATCTAGAGTGATTTTTCCACTTTTTACACTTCTGAATACATGAATGTTTTACAAGAAATGTATGTTTTTAATCATCTAACACAAGAAATGAAACCATTTTAATGGGAAAAAGTATAATACTAAACAGTGACAGCCACAATTCCTAGTGATTTTTTAAAAACATGTTATCATGATTCTTTAACCTGTTTTATAGATTTGAATAAAATAAGGAATAATTTCTCAGAGACCCAATATGTGGTAAAGTAAATTACCTAAGTATAATTTGAGCCAAATAAATTACTTTAATGTTGAGATTGATTAAAAAAAAGAGAATATTATTTGTTCTAGTTCTGAGAAGAATCCCATACAGATGGCCAACAGACACAATGAAAAGATGCTCAACATCACATATCATCAGGGAAATGCAAATCAAAACCACCATGAGGTACCATCTCATACCTGTCACAATGGCTATTATCAAAAAGTCAACAAATAATAAGTGTTGGCAAGGATATGGAGAAAGGGAACTCTTATGCACAGTTGGTGAGATTTTAAATTGGCGCAGCCACTATGGAAAACAAGGAAATTCTATATTATAGAATCTTAAACCTTCTTGAGAGGCAAAGTCAGTGTTATTCAGCTATCCAACTTGATGAAAGAAAAACTTTAAACCTGACCCTAGACTTACTGTGCCATGATTCTTCTGGAAGCGAATAACCTCCTGGTCATCTTCAAATGCACTACCCATTACCATCTGTGTAACAGACTTCATAGCAAAACCAAGCATATGCTGGCAAAGAGGTACATGCTGGGACTCTGGGTAGGAGAGCCATTTATCTAATAATTCTTCTGAAAGCTGAAAGAGAACAGAAGACTACAATGATTTACTATTTCCTCTTGCTAAATCTTAGAAAAATTCAGCAAGTAGATTCATTTCATAGAGTACACAGCTCAACTCTACAATTAAAGTAAGCATTCAGGCGATTACTTGATCTGTCAGGCTAACACTGGCTCCATCTATAATGACATCCTTAATGGTTCAGGTTCAGATTCTGTCAATGGGCTGATTTGCAAAACAAAACAGAAACACCACAACAATAAAAAAAAAAATTAAAAGTTCAAAGGCTGATAACAGCTTAAACTTAATAGAAATTAAGATACTAAAATCTTAGTATCTAATAATAAATAGTAAAGGTTCACCAGAGTGCCTGTGATATAGTAAATAATCAATATATGAATATCTTAAAATCCTAGACATGCTTCAGTAACAAAAAACTCTGAGTCTGTCATTCCTTCATTCAACAAGTATTTATTAAATCCCTTGTGGAATAAAAACAATATGTAGAAAAATATCAAAAGCTTTAGAGTCAGAAAACCCTGGGTTTTATTTCTGGCTCTGTCACTTAGAAGTAATGTGACTGAGTAATTTGCTTAACTTTTCCAAGTTTCAGGTGTCTCAATAGTTAAATGGGGATGACATCTCCTACCCTGCATGGCTGCTGTGACAGGAGTAATTATCTCCATGTCACATAATGTGGTAAGGGTTTGGTGAGGTAACACACACACGCACGGCCCTTTTCATGTTAAGAACTCAAATTCAAGCTTTTTTCCCATATTGACTCCATGAAAGTTGTGTTACAATATAAAGGATTAGAATTTTCTGAATAGTAAAATAAATATTTAAAATGAAGATATTAATCTCCATATGTCTGTGGTTTCTCCCACTTTCTTTTTGCAGCTAATCTCCAGTTTTAAAGCACTGTGTTCGGAGAATATGCTTGGTATGATTTCAGTCTTCTTTTATTTGTGTCCCAACATATGGTCTATCCTTAAGAATGTTCCAAATGCACTAGAGAAGAATATAAAATCTGGTGTCCTGGAATGAAAGGCTCTGTAAATGTCAATTATGTCCAATTGGTCTAATGTGTCACTTAAGGTTGATATCTCCTTATTGACTTTCTGTTTGAATGATCTATCCATAGCTGTCAATGGGGTATTTAGGTTCCCTACTATAATTGTGCCTTTGTCAGTTTAGTTCTGTTAGTAGTTGCTTTTTACATCAAGGTGCTCCCTAATTGAGAGCATATATATTGATAAATGTTATAACTTCTTGATGTATTGTTCCGTTTATCGTTATGAAGTGTCTTTCTTTGTCTAACAGACACTTCTACCAAGAAGACATGCAAATGGCAAACAGACATATGAATAGATGCTCAACTTCATTAGCTGTTAGGGAAATGCATCTCAAAACCATACCTATTAGAATGGCTATCATCAACAGGACAGTAATAACAAGTGTTGGAGAGGTTGTGGGGAAAAAGGAACCCTTATACACTGCTGATGGAAATGTAAATTGGTACGGCCACTATGGAAAACAGTAGAGAAGTTCCTCCAAAAATTAAGAATAGCATTACCATACGACGCAGCAATCCCTCTCCTGGGTATCTATTTTAAAAAATCTGAAAATATTTATTTGGAAAGATATATGCAATCTGATGTTTATTGCAGCATTATTCACGATGGCCAAAACATGGAAACAACTAAAGTGTCCTTCAATAGATAATAGACAAAGAAGATGTGGTACATATACATACAATGGAATATTACTCAGCCATAAGAAAAGATGAAATACTGCCATTTGTAGCAACATGGATGGATCTTGAGATTATCATGCTAAGTGAAATAAGTCAGAAAAAGTTGAGAATCATATGATTTCACTCATATGTAGGATATAAAACTGAAAACAACAAATGAAGAAGACAAGCTAACAGAGACTCATGGACATGGATGACAGTTTAGTGGGTACCAGAGAAAAGGGGTTGGGGGAGGGAGGTAGATAAGGGTAAAAGGGGTAAATATAAGGTGATGGAAGGAGATTTCACTTCAGGTGATAAACACACAATGCAATATACACATGATATATTACTGAATTGCACACTTGAAACCTATATAATTTTGACTAATATCACCGCAATAAATTTCATGAAAAAAAGAAATCCTAGTCTTACTATTTACTAGTTGTGTGACCTGAGATAAGTTACTTAACTGTTCTGTTCTTCAGTTTCTTCATCTGTAAAAAGGGAGAAATAACAACACCTACATATAAGTTTTGTGAGAATTAAATGAGTTCATACAAGCTATTAAACCAATGAACTCAATAATTTTATCAATGCTATTAATAATTAATACTATATAATACGATTAATAATTTATTGCTATATAATACTATTAATAGTATTACTAAGCTGTCAAAAGGATTTTGGACAATAGTCATAAATTCTAAAATCGGGAAATACTTGTTGAATCAGAATTTAGCCCAAAGTCACAGGATAATATTGGACTGAGGCACACAGAAGTTATTTATACTCCAATAATTAAAGTGGAGGTTTACACAGAGCCTAGGAGCAGAGATGGCCAGGGAAGGAATGAGTCAGAACTCACAGGACCAGGTTCTAAGAGAATTAGAGAAAAATCAGAATACAGAACTCAGATGTGACCAAAAAAAAAAAGTAAAAGGTTTATTGTGTCAATATGAAATATATAACTTATTTTGGGGTGATAATTCTGGTAAAAAGTACTATTTTCTTAAAGAAAACCACTGGTAGAGAGGAGGAGGATGCTCTGACAGCAGCGGCCTTCAGTCATGTTTCTGCTGATTAAGCACTTAATTAGTATTCCCGACTGATGACTAAGCTAAGTAACTGGCTTGTGCTATGGCATTGACGACAAAAATCTAAAACACTTTTCTCACATATAGACCTAAATCTAAAACACTTTTCTCACATATAGACCAAAGCTTGAAAATATGATGACAAGAAACATGAAAAGTGGGAAATAATTTTCCACCTTGATTTACCTTTGATCGGGCAGGAGAAAAAAATGGCATACAGAACAAAAAAGGTGGAAAGTCTGGGAAATAGAGTCTATGATAAAAGATTAAAGAAGTTAGAATTACTTAGTCTGAAGCAGAGAAGAAAGAATAATTAAGCCTTTCAACAATAAATGTTACTCAAAAGAAAAAGGTATCATGAAAGCAAAAAGAAATGGGCAAAATTCCTTGGAGACATACAATTAAATATAAAAATATTCTTACAACTGTTAGGTGTTTAAACAAAATAGAAAGGAAGATTCTGACTGGTGAATGCTTAGAAAGAGGCAACATAACTGCTTCCAGGGAGGACAATGAGGGGGAACAGGAACAGCTATGACACCCCAAGCAGGCAATCCGAGAGTCCAGAGAACATGTGAGCATGACCAATATAGAACCTTGAGATATGAAACGGGAATAATGAGAGGGTGGGAATTTGATATACAAGACTCCTGATGGCCCTGTGAATAATGGCTATCGGTTAGAAATGGGAACAGGAAAGGAGAGAGACTAATGTGCAGCTACCTATGGTTAAAGGCCCTATCTGGTCTGTTTTTAGAAGATAAACTATGCACAGAGGAGCCAATTAATGCTTCCAGTAGACTCAGTAAGCCAGTCTGAAGTCTTGAATGGAAAGTGTGTTTCGAATAGAACGCTAATAAGAAAAAACGGTCATTAAACATTAACCAAATATAATTTTTAAAAAGTGGATACTGTAAGTTAAAAGTCAACATAGCATCCTCTTAAAAGATATAAGGTATTCTATAACTCAAAAAAGTTATCAAAATGCTTATAATGCACAGTTAGGATAATTTTAGGAGGAATTAATAAAGTTATGAGAGATGAGAAGGAAAAAAAATAAAACTGACCAAGTGGCTATCATACGCAAAACGCTGTTAGGTGCTTTAAAAACAAGTGCTCCTTGGTATGATGTCCAGAATTTGCTTTAAATGGTCCAGTTAGAGAACTGGGAAGTGAGTAGAGGTATAGATAAAATAAGATTGAGTCTAATTTGATAACTGTTAAAGTATGATGATGAGGACGTGAATGCTCATTACATTATTCTATTTTTGTTTCTTTAAATTTTCCAAGATTTTAAAATTATTTACTCTATATAATGAGAGAGTAAGTGGGTGGGGGGTGTTTGTGCACTTGTGAGTGAATGTACAGACTATAAAGGACTTCTGTGTAACTCTACAAATGAGATATAGGCCCATGAGCTATAAAAACCCTGCTGAAAGAGGAAATGAATTAGCCAAGTTGGAAACATTAATAAGGAGGTATAGTTTCAGAGAAGCAGGTAATAGAAGCAAGGAGAAATGGTAACAGAACAGAAGAATGGGGGATGGGCAACAAACGAATGGCACAAAAATCTATTTCTCAAGCAAAGAGGAAGAAAGGAACTTCTTAAGTAATTACTGTTTTAAGACCTGATGTTAGGTATTTCATATCATTGCTCTTGAAAGCAACTTTGTAATGTGGATATTATTATCCTCGATTTAAGATGAGGAAATAAAAGCTCACAAAGGCCAAGTAACACACAAATGATCATGCAGATAGGAGCGCGATTCAAAGCCTCTTAACCAAGCTTAATAGTCTTTGTGCTATATAATAATCCCAAGGAGCCACATTAAACATATAACAAAATAAATAGCTTTGTTTGATTAGGGAAAAGAGGAGTGAAAACGATCTAAAAAGGAAAAGAGCTAAGAAAATCAATTTCATTTTGTTCTGTAAGCATATTCAGGCTGTTAATGGTAGTTTAGAGAGGGTACTTGGGGAAGCATACATAACTAAACTGTGGACTGGAGTAGGAGTTAGCCAGGCAAGGTGGGAAATTTTTTTTCCTAGGAGAAAAGAGCAAGAATAGACCCATAGAGGTAAGAGAGGAGACAATGAACTGAATTGTAAGTTGATCAATATTCATTCACAGGTTTAATAAATATTTACTGAGGCCTATTCTATGCCAAGAGCCACGCATGCAGTAGTCATCAAAATAAGAGTCCCTCCCTTTGTGGAACATAAAGTTTAGGAGACAGATATTCAAAGAATTACACAAAATATAATTACAAATTGGGAAGTGTTGCAAAGGAAAAGCATAGAGTGTTTTGACAGCATCTAAAGGGAGACTCACCCAGGGACAGTGGGATATCAGAGATAGCTTCCCTGGGGAAGTGACATTTAAACTAAAAGCTAAGAAGGAACATGCATTAACTGAATGTGTGGATGGCTAGAGGAGACAATTCAGTCAATGACAATAGAATATACAGAGGGCCTGAGATTGGAGAGAACAAGGTGCAGCACAGAATAGAAAACCTGTGTGACTAGAACATAAGCACAAATGAGAACGTGGGAAAGAAGGCTGGAAAAGTATACAGGCTACATCACACAAAGCCCTTAACACTACATTTTGAAGTTTGTCCCAGGAAGCTAGGAACGGGTTTTGATCAAGGAAATGATAAAATAAAAACTGTATCTTGAAAGTATCTGTTCACAGAGATTCTGAACTTCAAGTCCACAAATACCAAAGGGTCTATGCATAGAATCCAGAGTCCATGAACTTGGATGAGGGGGATAAAAATCTTTATTTTTCACTAACATCTAAATAAAATGTAGCATTTCCTTCAATTATGAATATAGGCCCTCTGTGTCACCAATACAAATCTCAAATATGTTCATATATTACAGTTATGGCAAAAATCTCAAAATGATGGTTTTGTTTCCCCATTACATCATTACTTAAAAATCATCGAAGTTTTTTAAAGCATTGCCAGACTTTGTTATTAAATGCATTAATAATCAAGCACATATATTACACAAGTTTTTTAAAATACTAATTTGATACTATATTGGTTTCCTAAGTAGTTACACATTTGAAAATGTTATTCTCAGGAGTCCATAAGTTTCACCAAACTGCCATTAGGTACATTTCATAAATAAGTTTAAGAACCCTTGAAGAGGGTAGAAAATATGTGGGGAGAATGGCAGAGAAGAGGAGAAACAAGCAATCCAGGTAAGACAATGGAAGCTTAAATTAGGATGACGGCAGTGCTGGTGGAGATAAGACCAATTTGAAAGACATTTAGGAGATAAAATTGACATTAGAGACTCTTTTCAAATGTAATTTTCAAAAATACCTAGTGTTATAAAAATGCTTACAAAATAATGGTAAATCAAAAATGCAGAGTCTAAAACTATCCATACAGTATAATGCTGATTAAAATTCTATTGTGCACAGAAAAGACTGAAATGATAGAAAGTATTTTAAAATATTAAACTGGTTATCACTGGGTAATGCATAGTATTAAAAACGTTTATTTTTTCCTTAGGACTTTTCTAAGTTTTTCCATATCTTGTAAAATTAGTAACAGAAAAAAAAAGTAAGCCTAACTTCAGTTTTCTTGCAAGAATTTTAATGACATGATAAAATGTTTGTTTTAAAGTGAAAATGTATATAACATTTTACACTATGACCTCAACCATATGTATACCTATAGGGAAATTATGGGTGATTTCTTTATATTGTTAGACTTTTTTAAAATTACTTTTTTATTTTATTTTTTAGGCGAGGCAATCCTTGGTTGACCTCACAGATTGCAAGGACCTTGTCAGCTTACCATTCCTTATTTTTTAATTTTTTACACCTACAGCACCTGGTCTTCCTAGGTGGTCTCCCATCCAAGTACTAACCAGGCCCGACCCTGCTTAGCTTCCGAGATCAGACGGGATCAGGCTTGTTCAGGGTAGCATGGCTGTAGTCTATACTGTTAGATTTTTCATGTTTGTTATAGCAATCACATTACTTTTATAAATTACATTATATTTAAAGGGCACAAATGGATGGATTAGTTTTAGACAGAAAAGGATTCTTTAAGATTTAAAATGAAAAGATTAAAATGGATAGACTTTGTTGGTAAGAGAATAGGATATTTAGAGAGTTCACATATAAGGGACTTTATAGTCTCAGCAAAGCAGAGGACAAGGACATCTAGGGCAAGCAAAGGGATTGGGTAAAACTGGCAATACTACCTTAAGGGTGAATGTTTAGAACGGTTCTATGGGGAACACAGAGAACTGTCAGGTAGCACACAGGGCTCAGACAAGGATCTTTAGGGATAGAAAGAAAATGGTATTGATTAGTACTGTTCTCGAACTTCGTAAATAATTTGTGGAACTTCTCAAAAATGTCAGGTCCCCATTCCAGTGATTTGGTTCATCAAGAAGAGGCCAACTAATCTGCATTTTTAACGAGAGCATTTGGTACACTCAGATCATGTTTTGGGAAACGCTGGTTTAGAGTTTGGCTTGAAAACGAAGTTTGGCTTGATATGGAAAAAATTTTCAGATTCTTTCTACTCTATCATTCCAACTTATACAGGGAGTCTACATGTTAAGATTTTTGTTTTGTGTTGTTTGTTGTTTTAGAATTTCAGAAGAATAAAAATCAGCTTAGGAAAAAAATCAGCTTAGAAAAACAAGAAAAGAGTAGCAGAGATGAGACACACCGATAGCCAAAAATACTATTATCTGTAGAACTCCAGGCCAAACTACTTATCACCTTACCTTGAGTAGGAGAGCAAAATTACTCTGCAGAGAATTAGTCACACCATTTTCATACAATTTTTTCCTTGTGTGGTTTTCACTCGCATTCCCATCAGACTGATACCTTAATAATGACTTTAACATGGTTTCAAAAGGGTCCACTGAAACAGACAATTTAAACATTTTTAAGTCAAAGTAATCACTAAAAAAATAAATCTCCAGCAAAAGAACATAGAGACCAGGGAGGTATGGAATTGTAGCTGAGAGCATGGCAACTTTTTTTTCACAACTCCCATAAGTACCTTTTACCAAATATGAACAGTTCAAAAGGCAATAAAAATTAGCAAGAATACAATATACAGACTGGGAATTCTACTATAAACCATTAATACTTGCATAAATTTTCAACCTACATGACAACAATATCTTTGATTTTAAAAAAAGCTCATTTCACTGATTTTAAAGCAAAATTGATCTTTGCACATAATCAAGTATTATAGATAAAATTATTTAGCTGATTTAAAAACTTTTCTCCATTATTTGAAGTGTTTCTTTAATAACTGACTATATTGTTTTCACATACATAAAAATACATTGCCATTGTAAACAATTAAAACAACATAGTAAAATACAAGGAAGAAAGTAAAATTCATCTAAATCTCACCACAGACATTACTCAGTGTTAAACATTTTAGGGTTTTACAGCAGTTAACATTTTTTAACAAAGAAAGAGAGAGAGACAAAAATCTGTCAGATTACATAAAGAACTACAGTCCCTTCTTTCAGAGCATTTTTCTCAGTTCATTAATGTGATCATTTGAATACTGTTTTATGCTTCCCCTACTCCCCAGCACTAAACTATAAACTCCATCAGAGCAGAGACCACATCTGGTTTCACTCATCACTATATTTTCTGACAGAGCCATCTTTCTATGTTGTGGAAAGCTTAGTGATTAAGAGCATGAACACGGGCCAGACTATCTGTCTAGCTCCAAGTCCCAGCTTCATCACTAATTAGTGGTGGGACCTTGGGCAAATGACTTAGCCTCTCTGTATCTCAATTTTGTCTTCCTTTAAATGGAGATAACCATAATACCTACTTCATAAGGTTGTTCTGAGGATTAAATGATTTAAAATTTGTGAAGGGTTTAGAACAGTGCTGGCATATCGTAATTGCTATATAAATATTTGATAAACAAAATAAATCTATATCATATTAAGACCTGAAAGTACTCTTTTATGCAGTCATTAATATTTGTTTACTTAAAATTTTATAATAAATAATGCTAATATCTTTTCTCATTTATGTGATTATTAATTCAAGATAAATTCCTGAAGCTGTTATTACTAGTTCAAAGATCACTTGCCAACCTTCTCTTCGGAAAGTTTGTAAAATATTTATACTCTATATTTCTCCATTCCTTCATCAACAATGAGTTTTGCCAATATTTTTCATCTCTTTAGATAGGTAAAAATTTCATTTTTATTTGCATACCACTGATTATTAGTGAGGTTGAAATCTTTTCATTTGCTTATCTGCCATTTGTATTTCTTCTTTCTTAATTACCTTGTTTTTGTCTATTTTTTCTACAACTGCACTTTTTTATTTTCTTCTTAGTTTTTATTTTCTTTATATATATGGATGGGAAATAGTTTTCCCATTTCTTTTTAACTTTTTCATAGTACCTTTTTATTTTACAGAAATATGGTCATCAATTACTACGCACTATGTGTAGTTAAGAGTGGTCAACATTTCCCCATCTCTCTCGTCTTCATCCTTTTTCAAGGTGTTTTCATTGTACTGAAATTTTTCATTTTTATGTAGACAGATTTACCCATCTTGTGCTTGATGGCTCCGAGATCTCTTGTCATGGTAGGAAAGGGTTTATCGACAACTCCCTCAATTTAATATTTAACCATGTTTTCTACTTTTATTTTTATGACTCAACATTTTAATCATTTGGGATTTATTTTGCAATAAAGAGTAAGGCGGGGATTCAGATTTTTTTTTCCAAACAGCTAAACAGTTTTCGCAATACCATTTATTACCTTTCCCCTTTATCATAAAATACTATCTACCATATGTACTTGGTTTGTCTACTAAACTACTTACTCTATTCCATCAGTCTGTCTAGTCCTATCACAGTACAAGTTTCTTTAAATTAACCCAGCTTTTTAATGTACTGTCTATCTGACATAACAAGTATTTCTCTTACTGATATTCTTTTCTAGATTTTCTTGGCTGCTCAGATACCTCTACTCTTCCAGATGTAGAACTAATTTTTCAGGTTCCAAAAAAATTTACATTGGGATTTTATTTTATATACATATATAAACTGAAGAAAAAAATGATCATTTTACAATACTGTGTCTTAAATGAGGTAATAAACAAAGATGTCAGTACAATGCCTGGCATATAGTATAAAGCATTCAATAAATGTTAGCTATTCCTACCTAAGAACAACACATGGTTCTTTTAGATATTTATTTTCAAAAGATAAGGATCAGCTTATTGGAAAGAAAATTAAACTTACATGTTTTATTGGGGTTGATATGCTGCTTCAGTACATCGACAGTGCCTAAACTAACCACAAGGCGCCTGCCAAACCAGAAAGAGACCACAGGCCCAAACCTCTCGTGTAAATTAACCAGGAACTCATGCAAACTTCCACTGTTCACAATATCTGGAAGATTACCATCTCTGTGAAAAGAGTAACATTTGACAAAACAATCAAGTTAACTTGGAAGAATCAGAAAAGCAACAACTGATTATGAATTAACTGTGTCAAGAGATAAGACCAAAGGTACATGAAATTCAAATTACTACAAAATCCAAAAACTTATATTTGACTTCTTGCTTTCTATAGTTATATTGAGACATGGATCGTCTAAGATTTTAAGTATTTATAACACTTCAAACTAAATAAGAAAAGTAAACAAGCAACATCTGACTTAAGCACTGGAAAACGATACAATTTTTGCAGCACCTCATTCTTAGATAGTAATGAACATCATCACAGGCTGATGGAAAACATCAGATCGGCTATGGCAGTATTTTTGTCTTTCCTTCTATCTTAACCCTGTCTATTTTCAAGTCTCTCTGGCTAGAAGAAGTAAAAGAAATGAAAAGTTGTATGAAATTTATACAGTCCTCCTTTCTATTCTTAACAAAGTTTAGGTTGTATGCCAAGAGATAAATTGGGAGTAAAGAAAGGAATTAAATAAGTTGAGTAACCTAAAAATATGGTTTAGTTTTAATATCAAAAATTAAGAGTTGACTCTACTTAATTCCAAAAAAATAATTACTCACTTTTCTTCGGTTGGAGTAATCCCCGGAATTCCTGAAGCTTGTCTGGAAGCCTTAAAGAAAAATTTAAAACTGTTTAGCATAATGAATTATCATATGTCCCATAAGTCAAACGTGTTTGGCCAAGACATCTGCAGGACCTTAAATTATGGCTTTCCAATTTAGTTGAATCTCAGGAGAGAGAGTATCCAATACAGGTGAAGAGAATACCCACAATGATAGTAAAAGAACAAGAACTATGCAGCCCAATGAGATGATAACCAGTACTGACTGGGGAGGGATGAAGGGGGACTCCAGAAGAGATATCTTCACAGGAAAGAAAATACAACTGATGCCTTTGAATATTGGAACAATTTCACTGACTAGTATTATGACAGAAATGTTGAAAAGATTTGGAAAAAATTAATAACAGGCAAGAGTGAATAAGCTCCAACAATGTGCAAATAATAAGTACAATCCCTCCCCACTGCCCTAATCTTAGCTTCCACAGTTCCATCAACAAGCATGAAGAGGGAGCCTCAGAAGCCTGTGTACACTGGATAAGATGGCTCCTATACCAATCTCCACACTTCATTAGCAGAAATGAAGGATGAGCCCAAGAACACCAGGTAAAATGCTTCCTTGCCCTTTATTACATCCATATCTCATAAACAGCTGCAATTGTTTGGATGGATCTCAAATTTGGCATATCTCTGGCAAGACCCGGTGAAACTTCAATCTCCTTGACATTTATAGCCTCACCACTACCATCTGCCCTGAGACCATCCAGAATAATAATGACCTTTTTCTTTAATTACACTGGACACATGAGGCCTAGGACTATAACTCCCAGGTTTCCCCTTATCCGTCAAACTCACATTGCTAGAGAAGTTTATCCTCTTTCCTGACCCATCTCTCCTCCACTCAAATCTTCATGCTACCTCAGCCACTAGTTCCCACAGCCACGTGCTAAACCTTGGCATTATCAATAACATCAACGTCCTAACTCCAAAAAGGATTTTTACCCCACCCACTCATATACTCATTTCCCACTCTAGCCAGCTAAGATTCCATGGTATATCATTACAAGCACTCCTTTGCATATAACCTTAAGTCCTCTGCCTTGCAGCCTTTGTCATAATCGCCTAGCAAAACACCTATTCTGATTAAATTCAATGTTCTGCCAACTATCCCTGAATCCACATAGCTGGAGAAACACACATTAGCCATGCTGACTAATCTCATTGTATGAACTTCAAGTGAGCTGCCTGGAAATCACACATTTCCCTAGTCCTTCATTTTCTAGATGACTATTTCACTCCTCTCTCTTTGCATCCCCTACCTTCACCAGTAACTGATCATCTTATATTTTATTGAAAAAATAAAAGTAATCAAGAGATTACTTCAACACATAGCTACCTATATACCTATATGTGTGCCCATATATTCCACCTTCCTTATTACTATGAACTATGCTCTAAATGAAATGTATTCCCATCCCTCTAATATCCACACTAGATCCCATCCTCTCCCACCTACAAGAAAATTGTTCTAGTATTTCTCCTCTGTTCTTACATCAATTTTCTCTTCATGACTTGACAATTCTCATCAGCTTACTAACATAATGAAATTTCTCCCACTATAAAAAATTTCATTTATCTTACTTCTCTCTTCAGTTACCAGTCCCTTCCCAGCAAAACTCTACAGTTGTCTCCACTTGTTATCTCTAAACACACTCCATTCTAGTTTATCCCCACCATTCCACTGCAACTGCTCTTCTTAAGATTACCAATGCTACTAAATTTTCTTGTCTTACTTTACTGGACAAATCTGCAACATCACTTAGCTGATTAGTAGCCTATGCTTAAAACGCTTGGCTTCCTTCTATTTATCTGGCTGCTCCTTCCCAGTCTCCTTTGTTCTCTTCTTCCTCTTCACAATCTCTAACTATTGGAGTATGCAGGACTTGTCCTTGGACTTTTTCTCTCCTTTATCTACACTCCCTGAGAGATGACAACTAGTCTCCAATTTTAACTACCATTTAAACAGTGACAACTCTCAAATTTAGGCTAGTAATCCAATCTGGACTTTTTCTTAAACTCAAGACTTATATAACCAATTAGCTATTCAGTATCTCTACCTGAATATCTAAAAGGCATCTCAAACACAGAATATTTAAAAACAAACTCCTGATCTCTATGAATCTTCACTACTTCCCACCAAAATAAAACCAAACAAACAAAAACAAAACCCTCGTCTTCCCTGGAGTCAATCCATTCTTCCAGCTACTCAAGCTAAAAATTCTGGTGTTTTCCTTGATGCATCTTTCTCACATTTCACATCGAATCCACTGGAAAATCTCATTGGCTTTATCTTCACAATGGACCGACCAGTTCTCACCAACTCTGCTACTGTCGTCCAAGTCAACAACCTCTGTCACCGAAATTCTTGTAATAGCCTAACTACTCTACAAGCTTCCACCCTTGCCTCAGGAGGCCCACAAGTCTATTTTAAACATATCAGCCAAAATGATTATTTTAAAATTTAACTAATTAAAAAAAACCCTTTAACTACCTTAAAATGTCATCTTCTGCTGAAACCCTCCAGGGGCTTCTCACTCATCTACAAAATGGCCTATAACTAAAATCTGCCTGTCATCTCCATCATTATGACATTATCTTCATTCCAGATACACTGGTCTCCTTGTTTTCCTGGAATACACTATGCATGTTTCCCCTGAAGGTCTGCATTTCCTATTCTCTGCCTGGAATGCTTTCTCAGATATACGAATGCCTTGCTCCTTCATCTCCCTTCTGCCTCTGCTCAAACGACTCCTTACATCTTGACTACCTACTTAAAAGTAACAACCCTACCTACCCCCAATTTTACTTTTCTCCATGATACTTAACACTAACATACTATATATGTTTATATTGTGTTTCCCTTTACAAGAATATAAATTCCATGAGTCAGGAATTTTCTGTCTGTGTGCTCATTGCTACATCCCCAGCACCAGGAACAGTGTCTGGAACACATTTGATTGAAAGAACAGTGTTGCTCCTGAACACATTTGATTGAAAGAAGAGTGTTGCTAATCAAAGAATAATCTCATTTAGAGACTATCAAAAATTCAAGACCTGGAGCCACTAAGTGTAGTTTCTCAGAAAATAAGATATACTGGAAACTACAGGTTGTGTAGTTGCAATATTCCAGTCTAATTTATTTACCAGCTCTGAAAGTGTTTAAGGATGTTCTATCGTTATCAGAATTTGGTGCTGTTCAGAAACTTCACAACTCTTTCTATAAAACGACTACCTTGCTTTGTAGAACATGTTTTAAAGATGATTCCTCAACTATTTGATTCTTCTGAGGTTGACCAAGGCCAGTAAAGAAGGCTACAATGAGATTCAGAGAAAAAGAAGTGGCCAAGTCGAGCTCACACATAATCCAGTGCACGGCGCTCATCCCACTTGCCCCTGAGGCCCTACAGGAGCAAGACCCGGTTAGGGCCTTCAGGACTTTGGATTCCGGTAACGACAGTTCAAAAGACAGATGGAAAGGCAGACGACACAAAAAATGCTTGGAGAATCCTCGGAAAAGGAGGAAAGGGTGGAGCACCCTGGAGTTTCCTCCTAGAAACACTAAAAAATGGAATTTGTATTTGGCAGAGTTTCTGCCAAAAAGCCACTCAAAGTACTTAAGATCCTCCCTGGAACAGTGGCATGGAGATGCTGGGCGCGGGGAGGCCGGACGGAGAGGAACAGCCCCCAGCCCTCCCGCGGCCGCGCGGGCTTTTCCTCAGCTCTCTGGCGCGGAAGCCGAGGTAACTTGAGCTGCTCGCCCGCCTGCCCCGGGGCCCGAGCGGTGATCTGGCCCCCAGCGCCTCTCGCCTCAGCCCAGGGGTCGCGCGCACCGGGCACCGCGTCCGTCACGTGCGCCGAGCGCTACGTGCGCCGAGCGCTGCCCGCGCCCGGGCGGGAGCAGGAGCAGGAACCCCACCCTCAGGCCCGCCCCCCTGCAGCCCGCAGCGACCAGAGCTATGTGGATGCGGGCAAGACAGAGGCTGAGGAGACAGCCAGGGCCCCCGAGGGCCGAGACGGCAGTTACCGGGTAGAGGTAGAGCACAGCTCCCACCAACGCCAGTAGGAAGGTAACGGCGAAGATCGCGAAGTCCAGCATGGCTCTTCCGCCCGGGAGCCACGTCTCGGATCCCCCGCTCGGGGAGCAGCGCCTGGGCCTGGCGGGGACTGGGACACGAGCGTGTGGGCGCGGCGCCCCGCGGGAGCAGCGAGCGAATGGGCTGCGGGGGGCGTGGCCAAGGCCGGGATGCCGGCTGCGGGGGAGAGCAATGGAGCGCCGAGGAGCCGCGCTGCAAGGCGGGGGTTGTGGTGGACACGACTTCGGGACACGCCCACGAGTTGGGGACGGAGTTGCCTGGGAAAACAGTCCAGGCTTCTTAAAAACGTTAGGAGTTGCCCCTCTGCCCTGACCAACACTTTTTCCAGTGGATTTAAGATGAAAACCTCTAAACCAATGAATGAGACTCGCAGTGTGGTCCCGGGACTGTGAGCCGCAGTAGTAGCAGCAGCGCCGGGGAACTTGCTAGAAATGCAGATTCTCCATCCCACCCCAGACCTACAGAATCTGACACTCTGGAAAGGGAGAGGGGCACAACAATCTGTGTTTTAACAAAGCTGTTAAACGCGGTGATGAACCACTGATCTAAGCTAATCTGAACAAGGTAGTGTCAAAATCAAGCACCTTTAGGTGCTCCTTGTTTTGCAATAGAATTTACGTTTGAAGGGGGCTAGGAAGTGTGATTCTGTGACACTCTCGTGGTGGATAAGATTTCCTTGCTCCGCTTTTCAGTAAATTCTCTGAATTTTCTAAGCTTCCATTTCTTACTGTGTAAAACAGTGGAATACACACAGAATGCCTGTAGAGTTAAAGTAGATATTTTATTTGGCACAGCTCCTGCCAAAGTGGTATCTACTTTAGCATTTAGCATCAGTTGTTCTCCTATTTCACGTCTCAGGTTTGACATGGATAATGTGAGGCAAAGCCTGCTACTTACTGGTGCTCCATTTAGTGAAAGCGTCTTGTAAGTATTTATAGATTTTATAGCTTTAATAATAAAAGTGTTCAAAAGGGGGTGGGTGGGTGGCAATTCAGCAAGAGAAATCATTCCAGGTTGCATTTTAGAGCTTCTATAATAAATGACTTGTTTTATGAATATGCATGAAACGCCTCATTGAAAATGGCAAATCTTTTGACATCTATAGCAAATGTACAAAACGTTGCTATTTCAGATTTGACAGAAATTGTACTTTTAACTCCAGTTTTCTGCGAACAGATGTTTCAAAAGTTAATTTTTAAATCAATTCTTTGGAATTTTGGAGACTTCCCATCATAATCATGTTCCAAATAGATTTTCAAAACAGAAAACATCAGTTTTTAAATGCATAATGTGGTAGATAACCCTAGGCACCAATCCTGAATATAGACTACACTCCCTCCCCTTTAGTCCTACACTGACCCTTTGAATTTTGAGGGTTTGTGAAAAAGACAAATTACAGATGCTGAGCCTGGCACAGTATTTTGGTGATTGAGTCTCTACAACTATACAACAACCTCCTCTTGTGTTCTTCAAATTTTTGCCTAAATGCTCCCCCAAAGTATTTTTTGAAAAACCATATATATATACTCTCACACATTTTTGTGTTGACATTTAAAATTTTTATCTTCATTTTAAAAGATTAAATTTCTTATAAGAATTATATTGTAAATATTTACCTCTTCAAATTGTTCAATTCTGTATCTCAAAAACTGTATCTCCATGAAATAGTTTTAAATATTTTAAAAGATTTAAACATTTAGATAAATTATTTTAAAATTTAAAACATTAAAGTTTTAAAACTAGAATATTTCTTCCAGATCAAGTTATTACAATTTTGTTACACAATTAAGCAAAAAAATAGTTGCAGAATTTGACAAAGAAGTAAACATAACCAAAATTCTATTGGAAATACATCTCCTCAGATGGATGAGCATTTTTTCAATTAGTTCATGTATTTATGAACATTATTTATTGCTAAAATTAGCCAGGATTCATCATCAATTCTATTCTTGTTTTAATAAATGTAAGTCCTGATCACCTTTTTCACATAAATAACAAGATGGGATATTACTATAGCAACATCATTCAATGTCTTGCAGTCTCTGAGATACAGGCCCAAAATCATTTATATAAAAATATGATTAACTAGGTTTATATTATGTTTAATGGTTTGTTACCTCACCTTCAAATCTCAATTAGGTCCTCTCCATTTTACTGAAAGTAAAGAATTGTAAATGGAAACATCTGTGCTCATTGCTTTCCCTCCTCCCCCAATAATCTCAGGTCTATTCTCTGCCATTCTTTGCCCTATACTGTGAGCATTGGTGCGAATTCCTACAGATTACACCACCTCTCTCCCTTATAAACTTGCCTCCAGTAGGATTCCACCAATAATAGGCATCAGTACACTGAGGCTGAAAAGAAAGCAGGTTTAGAAGCTTCCATTTTGCTTCCTCTCAGCTCTCATTAGGAATGGAAATCAGAGGTACTACTTCTGCTTCCACTCCTTGATTCTCACTGTGCATTATTCTAATTGGAGCCATAGCACCATATAAAAGGCTTTGATTTAATGAGAATAGTAAATCCTTAAGGATGACACCTCATCCTTATTGAATAACTGCTTCACCAACCTATTCCAGTGCTTTATCAAGATGGCAGCTTGTGGGTGATATATGCAATATGATCAGTGGATCCCATTATCATAGGATCCTATAGCACCTATTTACTATAAAATGAATCCTTTGAACTGAAGTGATGTTATGTGGGATCCCTTGCCAGTGAATTAAATACTCCATAGCCCTTAAGTTAATGGTGCTGGCTGAGGATCTGTGAACAGAAAAGGCAAACCTACATAAAATACATGTCTATTCTTTATGAATGAACCACTAGCCCTTCTAGAATGGAAGGGGCCCAAAGTGGCCAATTTTCCAGCAAGTTGCCCCTTGGTCTTGTTGAGGAATGAAGCTATACTGGTGCTAAACATTGCTTTTCGCTGCTGTTAAGTTGGACATTCAATGCTGGCAGTAGCTAGTCCAGCTTTGGTTAGTGGAGAGCTCATGCTGTTGAACCCATGTAGTCTCCATTTCTATCACTGTGGCTTCTTTCATATACCATTGCACCAGCCTTGGAGTGGCCAATGCAGGGACTACCTAACATGAACTGGACTGGTTGCTTTGTTCACTTGTTTAGGGCCTCTTTCATGGTGAGTGGTATCTAGTGGCTGTTAATATGTAACTAAAAGGTTTTCATACTTCTTTCCCACTCCCATGTTCATCTATATACCTCTACTCCAGACTTGACCAGCTGACCAGGCCTTTCATCATTGCCTATGATTCCGTATATATTCAAACCTTGGGCCTCTTCTTTTTCCATGTAAAGTGAATGGCATGGTGCACCACTAAAGATCTGCCCACTGAGGTGGTTTTTGCTTGCCATTCAAGACTGCCCACTAATAAGGCTTTGATTCAGCTGCGACCTATTTTTGGCTTCATCCAACATACTGAGCCATCCCATGTGTAAATCAAGTTTGGGCTTTTTTCTCCTCCTCCATCTGATCATATAGGATTACCTACAAAACTAAATGGTAGCTAAGGAAAGAGCACTAGTGCAACAATGGTTGATACTATGGAGATCTGAGCTACTCGCTCATGCGGCTTGCCTCTCTGCCCTGCGATCCTTAAGGCTTGGTGGTCTGACAAGATCTGGCTTATGATGGGCAGTGTTGGGAAACTGAGTCTCTGACAAGCAAGGTATTAACTGTCACTTTTGTTCTGGGCATAACCTTTTCAAGGAGATGGTTTTTCTCTAGAATAGAGGCCAAGTTTACTTACTTATCAGTATAATAATGTCTCCCTTCAGGGCAAAGGTCTTGCAGCCCATTATAAAAAATTCAACTTCTCTAAACACAGATTCTTCGGCTGACATAAGATTGTGAAGTGTATTCTTATGATTTCATTTAGAAGTTTATAGTGGTAGGTTTTATATTTAGGTCTATAATTCACTTCAAGTTAATTTGTAAGGTAAAGGTGAGATTTTTTTCCCATATGGATAACCAGTTCTAACACCACTTGTTGAAAAGCTGCATGAGCAAGCAGCCCAGATCCCCGTATCAACCACTGTTACACCAGTGCTCTCTCCTCAGCTAATATAGAATTACCTACAAAATAGCACATTTGTAGACAATTCACTCATTCTATATGTATGGATATATCTGAAGGGCCTCTATTTCCTTCCATTGATCTACATGTCTATCCTTATGCTAATACAATGTCTGGATTACTGTAGCTCTATAGTAAGTCTTGCAATCAAAGGATGTAAACCTTTCGACTTTGTTTTTCAAATTCTTCGGACAACTCTGGGTCTTTTGTATTTCCATATAAAATTTCGAATCAGCATTTCAGTTTCTTCAAACCTCCATTTACCCAGGTTTTCTTCAATTTGTCTCAATATTCTGTAGTCTTCAGTGTACGTGTCCTGCAAATGTTATTTACTCCTAAGTATTTCATACTTTTCAATGCTATTATAAATTGCATTATTTTGAATCTCAAGGTTTCATTACTAATATACAGTAATATAACCTCTTTTTGTATACTGACTTGTATCTTGTGACTTTGCTAGGATCATTAGTTCTAGTAGTTGTGTGTGTGTGTGTGTGTAGATATATAAGGATTATGTTAACTGCAAAAAAAGGATACTTTTGCTTTTCCTTTTCCAATATGTATGTTTTTTGTTTCCTGCCTTATTGCACTAGCTAGGGCCTACAGTACAATTTGAATGCTAGTAGTGAGAGTAAATATTCTTGCCTTGTTCCTGATTTTAGGAAGAAATAGTTCAGTCTTTTACCATTAAATATTATGTAGATATGGATTTTTCATAAATATCCTTTTTACATTAAAAAAGTTCCCTTCTATTTTTAGTTTGCTGAGAATTTATCTTGAACAGACGACTTTGACTCAATTGATCTGCATGTATCTATTAAGATGATGATAGGGATTTTCTTTGTTATAATACAGTGAATTACATACATTGATTTTTAAATGTTAACCCAATCTTAAATTCATGGGATGAAGCATGGTCATATATTATACTTTTCACCCATTGCTAGAATTGATATACTACTACTATTCTCTTAAGGATTTTTCTTTGTTCATGATAATGA